CTTAGCCTCTGGCTCAATGGGACCTGCTAAATCAGTGTGCACAAGATTGAGCGCTGCTTTAGCTCTTGCATCTGGTTGTCTGTTCCTACTCTGAGCAAATTTACCTCGAGTACACACTTCACAGTTAAGGTTAGATTTATCAATCCCACCCTTAATTTTCATCCCCTCAGTGACTTTTTCCAGTTGTGACACATCATCATAGTTACAGTGACCAAGTATTTCATGCCATGTTTGAATGTCATAACATCCATCGTCCTCAGCTTCACAGTCCACAGTGTTTAAAAAATAAAGTCTATCATATTCCTTGATGTCAAATATTTTACCTCTCTGGTGAATCAGCTGGTTACAACCCTGACGAAAGTTCACTGATGCTCCGTTGGCTGTCGCTGCTTTAACAGAGAAAATGTCTTGTGGATAGGACGGTATATAGAGCGCGTCCTTCAGCATCGCTGTCACTCGTCGTCCCTCCGTGTCTTGCAGGCAGACCTCCGCCTCTCCTTTCTTCAAAGCGACACCACTTGTTCTTGTCCCGTCAGCCAATTCAACAAAGTGGTCTTTCGGTTGAAAAGTATCATCGAACCTTTTAAACTTGTCGATGTTCGTTATTATGTGTGACGTTGCTCCGGTGTCGACCATCAGCCCTTTATGTGTAACTCCGGTTACTGGACTGTCACGTACTTTAAAAACAAATGAGTGGTCCTCAACGTCAGTTGCTTGTTTAGCATTGTCTCTCTCTTTGCGTCTGCAGTTTGCATCTATATGTGTGGAATTTTGCAAAAACTGCACCACTGTCTCTGGTCTTTGCTGCTCGCACTTCGACACTCACGAGCCCGGTGTCCTTTCTGACCGCAGTTGTAGCAGGTGATATTGGGGGCCATCTCTCCACTTCACCCAGCCACTCGCTTTCATAATATTATCAGATTCCTCACTCAAGTTGGCATTGTATTTTTCTGTGCTTTCATAGCTCCTCAACTTTGTTTTGAACTCACCAAAAGTTAGCTTCTCATCCCCTTGTGTAATGTGGATGGCAAACGGCCTAAAACAGATTGGCAGTCCCTTTAAAATCATGGCTATCAGCAGCCCGTCGCTAAGAGTCTCTTCAGCATTTTTCAGTGCTGTAATTGCCGTTTCGGCACGAATAATATAGTCAGTGACGCTCTCATTAGCGGCTTTCTGCAGCGACGTTAGTTCAGTGTAGAGGCTGATCACCCGTGGTTTCCCTTTCCCAGCGTAGTGGTCCCTCAATATTTGTAACGCTTTTCTTCCGTTGTCCGCTGCTTCTCTCATGATCAGTGAAAGGCTTTTATCGTCCAGTACCTGGATCAATTCCGCATAGGTTTCTTCGTTTTTCTGATCATCAGCCTCATCCTCTTCACCTGGCTCCTCTAGGATGGCAGCCTTCAATCCTAGCAGTCGCAGATGACCCAAAAACTTTGTCTCCCATAACTCGTAGTTCTTCTCATCTCCGTCGAAACACAAACGGTTCCACCGGTTTCCATGGTCCCTCCTGGGCCTATAACCTGTTAGCGATGCCATGATCTTAGGGCAGGAATACCGTGAACATAGTTAACGTGACAGAGGAATAAATACACACATACACCATCAGCTGTGCTTCAAACGGAAGTGACACGTTTTATTGCGCATGTCCCTTTTATCACGGGAATACAGGAAGTGATTAGTATAAGAGTATTCAATAAACAGAATTCATATATTACATTTCATAATTCAACATTCAGACATTGTACATTCAATATATATCTAAACACGCCTTTTCTCCTCCTTAACTCTTTCATGACTTTTCATTTAACACATTCTAAACGCTGTAATCAATACTCCAAAAAATACAGGAAATACTTCACGGCAGTTTGGTTTTCGATCGTTCCGGATGTTGTCGCATGCTACACACATCTGTAAACAATAACGTACTCAAATAAACTGTACCTTCATTTAATATTCAACAATAGTAATATCTCGACTTCTATAGTTGTAGTGTTGAAATCAGTAGGTTTCGGTGTGCAACATCATATCATATCGCTGCTAAATTCACCTCTATAGTAAATGGTATATTAGCCTCATGCTAAATGCTAACCGAAGATGAAGGATTTTCAGAATAAAAGCTTAACAACTGGTTGTGCACAAGAACTTTTGGTTTTTCAGTATAAAACAGCATAAACTGACGGTATGTTTAAGGTACTTTATGTCATTCAAAACATTGATTTTAATTTCTAACACGCCGCACAGCTGTTCGCCTGACAGCTCTGTCCCCGGGCCCTTCTCGCTTCGGTTAAATGGATTCCTTGCGTCCCTCACTTGCGTCACTTCATCGAAGGATGGTCTAGTGGTTCCTCGGTTATAGCTCCTCCATTATCGCTCCTCGCTCCTCCGGCAAAAATAAGGCCATTGGGACGCTACTCAAGATGGCGCAGACAAATCAACTTCCGGTGAGACCGAGACCGAGGAGCGAGGAAATGAAAAATAAGAGAAGTGAGAAGGGCCCCCCGTTCTTTCCACACACACCCCCGCCTCTGTTAGTACACATTTACTGACACAAACATTTGTATCATCTGTTGTAGACCCAAATACATTAAATAAAATAAGAACTCATTCTCAAAAAAGATAAACGCCATTCTTAAAATGTATTTAACGAACAATAGTTTGATTAATATTGATTAGAGTGCACAATAGAAATAAAATAATTGAGAGAAGAAAAAGAGATATGTTATCTATCAAAACCCAGTTAGATTAACATTCATTGGATTGCACTCTTTGTGTGTTTGTGTGGATATGTAGCATATTCACATTTTAAATAGCACTTAATGACTGACTGAATGGAAATGACAATAAATGAAAATGTAAAACGAAAAAAGCGATCATGAAAATGTTTCCAATAAATGAATACAATTATTTGTGACCACTTTGTTGTTCAGATATATCACATACTTTTAACTAAATGAAACATGAATTGAAACAAAACACGGTATAAACTGAGGAGTGAGTCCCGTGAGGTTCATGTGTTTTCTTCACTCCGCTGGGAAACGGCTCTCATGTCAAGAAGCATCAGATCAGTGCATGCGCTGCATCGTCCAATCAGTGAGCGATACACAGTAAGGGGGCGGGGCGAGTGTCTGAGGATTTCATCGAAGGATGGTCTGGTGGTTCCTCGGTTATCGCTCCTCCATGATCGCTCCTCGCTCCTCGATCCTCGGTCCTCCGGCAGAAATAAGAGCCATGGGACGGTACTCAAGATGGCGCAGGCAAATCAACTTCCGGTGAGACCGAGACCGAGGAGCGAGGAAATGAAAATAGTCGTCCATTCCAACCCAGTCTCACAAAAAAACGTGTAATAACTACGTTGGTCCACAAAGTAGGACGTAGTATTTCTACAAAAACACCTCTGAAATTGTAAGATCCCTACGTTTTTTTTCACCATTCATTCCAATGGCTGGCGTCTATGGGCCCTTCTCACTTCTCTTATTTTTCATTTCCTCAAAGGCAAATTCCGGCAATTTCTACCATAGTCTTATTTTCATGCTGCTGTTAATCTGGACAGCATATTAACAGACTCTAGCGACGGCGCATATGATTATACAATCAGACTATGTGCAATAAAAAAACATTATAACACATATGAGAGACGTTCTGCAGTAAGGAGGGGTGTTTCACCGACGACAGGTGGCTCTGACTTTTATGTATAGGGGACGGAGCATTTTTACTTTACACGACACCGTTCAACAATTCATTCTGCTTCACTCTTTTGCAAAAGATTTTTCACGACAACCACGTTCTTGTGACACGTAAATACTACGCTTCCTATGTTTTGGTGCGGACTGCGTTCACACCAGCGATGAACCGCTCCAGAGTTCACTTGCAATCGGTCCGAGAGCACCTATTTTAACGGACCAGGGTCCGGTTGTTTAGTTCCCTTCAGAGGTCTGTGTTCACACCGACCCAAATGAACCGCACCAAGCGGATAAATGCACTAGGGTTCGATTCAACCGGACTATACAAGGCTGGTGTGAATGCGACCTAAGTCTATAACGTTTTTTGTTTTTTTAAACGAATATCCGAATAACGAAATTGAAAACCGAATAGTAGGCCAACGACCGGATATTCGGGTGCAGCCCTAGTGTGCAGTATAGTACAGAACAAAGGCAGCAGAGTTCAGCAAGCTAACATTATTTGAGGATATTTCAATATGCATTTATAGCATCATTGTATCAGTGAGAGAACATGGTTTCAAATGGCAAAGATATTGATAAATACTCACTAGAAACTAAATATATCGTCCAAAACATGATTTACTACTTGGGCATGTTTATGATATGTATTTTAAAGATGTTTATTAATGATAGTGATGACCTGGTGAGCTGGTTGTGTTTAGCATTAGCAGATATAACAGAGCTTTGTGTGATTACATGTAGAGTCAATGCAAAGACCCAGATCCGTGCCTGGCAACACCAAGAAAGTGAAGAGGTGAAATTCAGTCAGCTGCGTATTCGTGCAGCGTGACACATTTCATCTTTCATTACATTTCATTTGTATTTGTTCCGTTCATGGTATGCACAACTTAACGTATAACAAACATTTACAAAACACGTCTCTATAAACACACCTTTGACCGAAAAGGAGCAGGGAGCAGAAAATAATCTTCTGTGACCTGCCCCTTTCTAAAAACATAAACAGATGGTCTGTCCTTCATATGTTCTTATTCACAGCCACACATCACAGCATCGTAGGATAATAAGAGAAACACAAACACGAACTAACAAAAAGACTTAGTTCCCTCTTGACAGTTAACGGAAAGAAACAAAACAACAACAACAACAACAACAACAACAACAACACCAAAACATCACATGAACAAGGAAAAGTGCAGCACCCTCACCTGAGTCCTACTGGAGGAGAAGAGTCTTGAGAGAGACGTTTGTGACGCTCTACCCATTGGTGAGAATCAGCTCCACTAATGTAACGTGCTGTAAAGGATGTGTTCATCTCCACAGAGGGAAGAGGAAGAGTGGTGTTCCTGTGGAGGAGCAGCTGTCCAGCTGTGCTCTGTGTCAGGACGTCCTGAAGGATCCAGTCTCTACCAGCTGTGGACACTGGTTCTGCAGACAGTGCATCACCTCATACTGGGAGCAGAGACCTCCATCAGGAGACCCCTCCTGTCCCCAGTGTGGGAAGAGATCCAGAACCAGAGCTGGACTGCAGACAGCCAGCCAGACCAGAACTGTACGAGGTAAGAGGCCGAACACACGCAGCGTTTTATTCCTCTTCCTGGTTCCTTTGTTTCTGAATATGTATACTGTTGTAGAGCAGAGACAGTAAGCTGTTTATACAACATTTAAACTCAGTCTGTTGTTTGTTGTTTTATTGTTATAATTAGATTCTCAGAGCATTTTCCTCATTCTCTCACGTTCCCTTCTCTTCCAGCAGATAGTGGTCTGCAGGAGGTTTTAGATGAACATAGGCTCAGTCTGAGGAGGAGATGTGAACGTGTGACTGAAGGAACTGATCAAAGTGAAACCCTCCTCAACAGCATCTTCACTGAGCTCTACATCACACAAGGCCAGAGTGAAGAGGTTAATACCCAACATGAGGTGAGGCAGCTGGAGGCAGCTTCCAAGAAGAAGCCCCTCCATGACACTCCAATCAAGTGCCAGGACATCTTTAAAGCCTCACCTGACCAACAGACTCCCATCAGAGCGGTCCTGACCAACGGAGTCGCTGGAGTTGGAAAAACCTTCTCAGTGCAGAAGTTCACTCTGGACTGGGCCGAGGGTTTGGGAAACCAAGATGTCAGTCTGGTGATCCCGCTCTCCTTCAGGGAGCTGAACCTGATCAAAGGTGAGCAGTACAGTCTTCTCAGGCTGCTCCATGTTTTCCATCCAACCTTACAGAAGGTCACAGCAGAGCAGCTGGCTGTCTGCAAAGTGCTGCTCATCTTTGACGGCCTGGATGAGAGCAGACTTTCTCTGGACTTCAGAAACAATGAGGTTGTGTCTGATGTCTCTCAGCAGTCCTCAGTCAACGTGCTGCTGACAAACCTCATCAGGGGGAAGCTGCTTCCCTCGGCTCTCGTCTGGATAACTTCCAGACCTGCAGCGGCCAATCAGATCCCTCCTGAGTGTGTGCACAGGGTGACAGAAGTACGAGGCTTCACTGACGCCCAGAAGGAGGAGTACTTCAGGAGGAGATCGAGTGATGAAGACCTGTCCAGCAGAATCATCTCTCACATCAAGAGCTCCAGGAGCCTCCACATCATGTGTCTGATCCCAGTCTTCTGCTGGATCACTGCTGCAGTTCTGGACCACATGTTGACTACAGACCAGAGAGGAGAGCTGCCCCAGACCCTCACTGACATGTACTCACACTTCCTGCTGGTCCAGACCAAGAGGAAGAAGCAGAAGTATGAAGAGGGGCATGAGACGAGTCCACAGCAGCTGACGGAGGCTGACAGGGAGGTTCTTCTGAAGCTGGGGAGGCTGGCGTTTGAACATCTGGAGAAAGGAGACATCATGTTCTACCAAGAAGACCTGCAGCGCTGTGGTCTTGAGGTCAACGAGGCCTTGGTGCACTCAGGAGTTTGTACACAGATCTTCAAAAGAGAGAGTGTGATCTTCCAGAAAACAGTCTACTGCTTCGTTCATCTGAGCGTTCAGGAGTTTCTGGCTGCAGTCTACATGTTGCACTGTTACACCAACAGAGACACAGCGGTACTGAAGGACTTCCTGCAGGGAGACTATAACAACAGCAGAGATCAGGATTACCCATCCCTGCCTGTCTTCCTGAAGGGAGCCGTGCAGAAATCCCTCAGAAGTAAAAATGGCCACCTGGACCTGTTTGTCCGCTTTCTCTACGGCCTCTCTCTGGAGTCCAACCAGAGTCTGTTAGGAGGCCTGCTGGGTCGCACAGACAACAGACTAGAAACCATCCAGAGAGCCATCAGCAACCTGAAGGAGATGAGCAGTGGATATATCTCTCCTGACAGGAGCATCAACATCTTCCACTGTCTGACAGAGATGAAAGACCTCTCAGTACATCAGGAGATCACAGAGTTCCTGAAGTCAGAGAACAGATCAGAGAAGGAACTCTCTGAGATCCACTGCTCTGCTCTGGCCAACATGCTGCAGATGTCAGAGGAGGTTCTGGATGAGTTGGACCTGGATAAATACAACACATCATGGGAGGGACGACTGAGACTGCTTCCAGCTGTGAGGAACTGCAGGAAGGCCAAGTAAGTCCAGATGTGATTAACTTTATAAACTAAAGTGGATCAGGAGTTTAATTATTCAAATAAACACTTTAACATTTCTGCTGTTTAAATAATGAGGGCAAAATAAAACCAACACTGTTCTTCTATTTATTTATAATGTTAGTTAAACTGAAGCGTTCCTCTCTTCATATTGAGTGAAGGAGGCGACATGTCGAACACATGAAGGACTTGAGAGGTTTCTCAGCATGTGATCACACCACACAGCAGGACTTACAGTTATCACAGAAACATGTTATTATTACTTTCTTTGCTTTTTAAGAAAATATTCACAAAACATTCAGAACAAAATAAACACATCTCAGTACATAGATGAACTACATAACAGATGACCAATCAGAAAAGACATAACAACATAATAGTATTACAAATAAAAGAATGGATACATTGTGAATACATTATGAATACTCAGGTATACATTAATTATATTCACTATATTGTTCTACACTGACCCATTCCTCCCACCTTTCCTCAAAGATATGCATTTGGTTTCTAATCTAGTTGATTTCTCCGTTACATAGAATTCATTTACTAAGTTATTCCATCGTGAGTTTACTAAGTTATTATCTTTCAGACAATTCCTTGTCATTTGTTTGATCTCTTTTCTAATGACCAGAAATAGATAGGAATCTTTTTGTATCTCCTCTGGTGTTCCCCCAGTGATAGGGAGAATGGGTTTTTGTTGAGAGATCAAGATATCGGACATTTCTCTTCAAACTGTTTCCCAGAAGTCTCCCAACACATTACAGGCCCAGAATATATGTGTCTGGTTTCTGCTCAGCGCGTTCTCTCCAGCGTTTGGAAGTGAGGCTTTCTTTGTATTCACTTTGAATCTGGGGTGTCTTAAAGTGTGGAATTAAAAGCTTCATGTGTTTTCTTTCCAGTAGTTTGAGTTGGTTGTGTTATGAATGTTTCTGCACATATGTTCCTAATCTACTGGTATATTGCAGGATCCTTCATTTCCCCATTGATTTATTACATTAATAATACTGTGTTCATTTCATTTCAAACCTTTATTTAACCAGATTGGTCCCATTGAGATCATAGATCTCTTTTTCAAGGGAGACCTGCAGCATATAGGTTCCACATGAAACATAAAACAATAAAGGACATCATACATTATATTTACAGGATACATTTACATAGTTATAGACATTTACAAGCGTCAGCTAAATGTAATGTAATGTAATGTAATAATACTGTGTTCATCTTGATTTCTTTATTCTAATATTTGAACCATCTTAGTTAGAAATGTTGTTTCCACTCCAGGGTCATAAACTGTAAGCATGTATTTTATCAATGGCTTGATGTCTTGAAAAGATCTCTTTTTTAAATGCCGGAAAGATAACTCCTCACTGAAAGAATCTGAATAAATGGTATTTCAGTAAATCATATTGTAACGAACGCTGTTCAAAGGATTTCACGTCTTTATCACCGAACATTTGTCCAAATGTCCTCAAGCCCTTAGAAGCCCATAGTTTAAACATGTGATGGTCTTTGTTAAGTTTGTGAGGAGGGAAGTCTTGATCAGTTCGCATTCCTTTCAGGAAGATTAAATCTTCATATAGTTTTTGATTACGACAGACTTCCCTCCAAACCTCAAGTGTAGCAACAACCCATTTTTTAATGATCACTTTCTAGTAGTTTCTTTATCATTAAACACATGTTTTGATCACAATGTGTTCGAGTTTAAAATCAGATCTATATCATTTCCCACCAATAACAGAGTTATCTCTTGATGCTGATATACTGGGAACATCTGATGGTATCAAGTTGAACATATTGAAACTTTATTGGTTTGTTAATTGTGTTTGTGTGCGCAATAAATGTTCAGATGCTCAGAGAAGCCAAAACATCCTTCATCCATCATTCACATCCAAATGTTAACTAACATTTAAATATGTACATCTCTAATATCGTCAAGTGGTTCATTTAATTTCTGTTTCTCTGGTAACAGTCAGTGACAGCAGGAGCACAGACCTGTGATCAGATCACACTGACTACTCATTACACTCTATTATTATATATTATTATATATTATATTAAATGGACCAACAGCAAAGGTCTATCAGAACATGTCACATCTTTTTTCATCAAATGCTTGAGGTTAATATAATGTTTCCTCTCTTTTTAACATATGTTGTAATATATGTTTTATTATAGACTCACTCTCTATGGAGTCTCAGAGACTGAATGTGAAGTCGTGGCCTCAGCTCTGAAGTCTGACCCCTCCCATCTGAGAGATCTGGAGCTGAGTCAGAGCCCTCTGCAGGATTCAGGAGTGGAGCTGCTGATTTCTGGACTGAAGAGTCCAAACTGCAGACTGGAGGCTCTCAGGTCAGTTCACTGACTGCAGTTCATATTGATCTGTTTGTGTTTATGATTTTCTGAATTTGAACAAATACAATGTTATTTTTATTTGTTCCGTTTTTGCTAATAACTGAATATTGATCAGAGTAACAGAGAGAAGGTGAATGTGTGAGGGAGAGAGTTTGAGCTTCCACAGACTCACCCTGTGCTCCAGGAGTCAGTGGAGATGCTGTCAGTACTGAGGAGCTGTGAGGGAGATGAAGGAGTTGTTCAACATCTGATCAAAGTTAAAGTTCCAGATTATCAGTGGATTGTTTCTGCATCATCTCTGACATTAAAACCCTGTTTGACTTTGAACAGATTATTAAACATTGAGTTATTTCAAACAGGAACTTTGTTTTCTAAAGTGACATCATGGTTTCTTTCTTCAGTCTGAGTGACTGCATGTTGTCAGAGATCAGCTGTTCTGCTCTGATCTCAGCTCTGAAGTCCAACCTCCATCTGAGAGATCTGGAGCTGAGTGAGAACGCTCTGCAGGATTCAGGAGTGGAGCTGCTGAGAGATCTTCTGGAGAGTCCAGACTGCAGACTGGAGACTCTCAGGTCAGTTCACTGACTCTCTGTTACTGCTGGAGATCTCACATGTTCACTTTGTAACTGAACCTCATTTATATTCGTTAATAACTTACATCCATAGAGTTATAAATGTCCTTTTATTCATGTTTCATTTTAAGAGTAAGAAGTAAGAACTGCAGACATACATGTTGACTGTTTCTTAAAGGAACTGTAATAGATGTTGTTGTAAAAAGTAAATCTCTGTATTTAATATTTAGTAAACGATAACGTCTGAATAAAGGTCATCTGAAGTCATTTTAGTTTTACATTGTGGTGGGAATTTATTGATCAAATGTGGATGGAGAGTCAAAGCATTCAGCTCTTTGTGGTATTTCATTCCTTGAAGAAAGTTCAGTCGGTCACACAGAGAGCACACAGTCTGCAGAGAGGAAGACGAAGAGTAGAGTTTGGGTTGCATATTTAAACACAGAGCGAGGAGAAAGGGAGGGGAAGCTTGGTGATGATGAAGGAGCATTCTGGGAGTCAGGGAGTTAGGGAGGCCGTATCAGGAAGTTCTCAGCTCACCTGAGGTGAAGGTCATACTGTTGGTGCACAGAGAGAGTCACTAACAACACTGCAACACATCTTCTCAAGGACTTCTCCCAAGCTTAGCTAAGAAGTGGGAGAAGTAGCAAATATAGAGAAACATTAGCAAATAAGAATCACACACTGATATTATTAAAGTAAGTAAGTATAATATGTTTCTATTACATACATGATAAAGTTCACTTTCTGAAGTAGACAGATGTTTCTGTTCCCATTCATTTAAATGTTGAGAAACATCTGATTGGATTATAAACATATTTTTATCCTCATCATGTTTTCTTTATTCAGACTGAGGAGCTGCAGTTTGTCAGAGATCAGCTGTTCTGCTCTGGCCTCAGCTCTGAAGTCCAACATCCATCTGAGAGATCTGGACCTGAGTGAGAACGCTCTGCAGGATTCAGGAGAGAAGCTGCTGAGAGATCTTCTGGAGAGTCCAGACTGCAGACTGGAGACCCTCAGGTCAGTAAGGGGTCTCTGCTGGTTCAGCAGTATTGTATGAAACACAGGGAGGTGTTTCTCTCACTGGGGAAACAGATCAGTGATGTTACCCACTGACTGCAGGCTCTCTCATTCTTCCATCAACTAGAGAAGGCCAGCTGGAAATGCAAAGCCACGTTTAGTAAGTCATCAACTTTCCACCAGACATATGGGGTTTGACAGAAGAGTGGAAAAGGTAGTCTGTGTTTGATGGGATGTTTTTAGTTCCTTGACTAATGGCTGTTACTTCCTGTCATGCAGCTGAGAGCTGTGGCAGTCAGTCGTAGTGTTTGCAGAGAAGATATGATGGGATGTAAAGCATGAGATCAGGACTCTGAAGCTGACTCAAAGAACAAACACTTATTTTAAACTGGATCATAACTGTTGGATTGTGTTCATCCCTACAGGATCAGAGATGATGAGACGATCAGAGCCAAGATCCAGAAGACCTGTGAGTACTGAATATCCTCCATTCATCCAGATATGAGACTCTTTGATGGAGCATGTCCTCAGAGGAAAACAACACTCTGGTTTCTCTCTTCATCATTTTGGCTGTTTCTCTTCATAAGAACTGTCTATCAACACAGTGACGCGTTCACTGACACTCTGTAAAATGTAAATAAACTCTGAAGAATAAAACACATGAAAACATCGACATTATAACCAGTCCGTTACAGTATTACCCTCAAAATATACTTCAGTACAAGTAGAAGTACTCAGATATTTTACTTGAGTAAAAGTAGAAGTACTCAGATCTTGTACTTGAGTAAAAGTAGAAGTACTCAGATCTTGTACTTGAGTTAAAGTAGAAGTACTCAGATCTTGTATTTGAGTAAAAGTAGAAGTACTCAGATCTTGTACTTGAGTAAAAGTAGAAGTACTCAGATCTTGTACTAGAGTAAAAGTAGAAGTACTCAGATCTTGTATTTGAGTAAAAGTAGAAGTACTCAGATCTTGTACTTGAGTAAAAGTAGAAGTACTCAGATCTTGTACTTGAGTAAAAGTAGAAGTACTCAGATCTTGTACTAGAGTAAAAGTAGAAGTACTCAGATCTTGTACTTGAGTAAAAGTAGAAGTACTCAGATCTTGTACTAGAGTAAAAGTAGAAGTACCAGAGTGTAGGAATACTCTGTTTCAGTAAAAGTACTGCATTCAAAATGTTCCTCAAGTAAAAGTAGAAAAGTATTATCATCAAAATATAGTGAAAGTAGCGACAGTGAAAGTAGTCGTTGTGCAGATTGGTCCATTTCAGAATAATATATATGATATGTTTTATAATGATTGATCATGAAAGTGTTCTCAAAGCTGGTGAAGGTGCAGCTAGTCTGAATGACTTTGTATACTGCAGGGTAGCTGGTGGATTTACTCCAGGTGGAACTAAAGTCTGATTCAACACTTGATTAGATTTCACATCATTCATCCACATCTGTGAAGTAACTAAAGGTATTAATACATGTAGAGGAGTAGAAGTACACCATGTACCTCTGAACTGTAGTGGAGTAGAAGTACACGGTAGCATAAAAGGGAAATACTCAAGTAAAGTACAAGTACCTTAACATTTTACTTAAGTTTAGTAAATGTACTTAGTTACTTCCCACCTCTGAGTGTGAGCCTGATCTATCGAAAGGTTCGTTTTTTTCAACAAAAATTACCAACGGATTTAACCAGTGAAATATATTTAAAATAATAATATTAAAACATGAATGCGGCAAATAAATGATGACAATATATTTATTTGTAAATGAATTGTACTCTGTTTGCTCGAAAGTTGCTGAGATTTTAATGAATCATACTTTTTTTTTTAAATGATGAAACTCCAGAGGCTTCGTTTTAAAACATTTTATATGAGTTTGAACACTGAACGCCGACTGGAGTGAGACTCAGTTAAAGGATGTGTTGGAACAGCAAATCCTCCATATATTACTGAGCATGTATTGACATCATAAACCCCTCAGAATGCTGTGTTTATGGCCGATGATGATCTCATGCTCTTCATCAGAAAAGCTCCTCATCTCAACACACACCCACACACACACACTCTGTCACTGTAACAATAGTGTGTGTGTTTCATGCTTTCTATAGAATACGGTTTTCATCCAGCTGCTTCAGTGCTGGAGAGGTTTCTGTGAGCTTTGATGCTGCAGGTTGAAGTGAAGCAGGATCAGATAGAGGAGGCGTACTCGCTGTGTCCATTTGAATGAAAGCTGAATGTGATGAGATATGGAGGGCTGTGCAGGAGGCAGCTGTAGTCAGTGAGTCTGTCTGAGATGAGATACTTCTGTCTGATGTTCTCATGGAGAGGATAAGGGCCAAACGTGATTCTATTTATTTTAATGCGGCGACCCTTTTCTGCTTGTTGTGGTGTTTTCTCTCTTTTAGTGTGTTGGTGAAACTGGGCTCTGGTTTCAGACAGAGGGTGAAAAGAGGCGCTGCAGCACAGACAGTATGAGACACTACATACTGATATACACCTGAACATCAGCAGGAGAGGACTCTTTAAAGTAGAGACACTACATACTGATATACACCTGAACATCAGCAGGAGAGGACTCTTTAAAGTAGAGACACTAGATACTGATATACACCTGAACATCAGCAGGAGAGGACTCTTTAAAGTAGAGACACTACATACTGATATACACCTGAACATCAGCAGGAGAGGACTCTTTAAAGTAGAGACACTAGATACTGATATACACCTGAACATCAGCAGGAGAGGACTCTTTAAAGTAGAGACACTACATACTGATATACACCTGAACATCAGCAGGAGAGAACTCTTTAAAGTAGAGACACTACATACTGATATACACCTGAACATCAGCAGGAGAGGACTCTTTAAAGTAGAGACACTACATACTGATATACACCTGAACATCAGCAGGAGAGGACTCTTTAAAGTAGAGACACTACACACTGATATACACCTGAACATCAGCAGGAGAGAACTCTTTAAAGTAGAGACACTACATACTGATATACACCTGAACATCAGCAGGAGAGGACTCTTTAAAGTAGAGACACTACATACTGATATACACCTGAACATCAGCAGGAGAGGACTCTTTAAAGTAGAGACACTACATACTGATATACACCTGAACATCAGCAGGAGAGAACTCTTTAAAGTAGAGACACTACATACTGATATACACCTGAACATCAGCAGGAGAGGACTCTTTAAAGTAGAGACACTACATACTGATATACACCTGAACATCAGCAGGAGAGGACTCTTTAAAGTAGAGACACTACATACTGATATACACCTGAACATCAGCAAGAGAGGACTCTTTAAAGTAGAGACACTACATACTGATATACACCTGAACATCAGCAGGAGAGGACTCTTTAAAGTAGAGACACTACATACTGATATACACCTGAACATCAGCCGGAGAGGACTCTTTAAAGTAGAGACAATACATACTGATATACACCTGAACATCAGCAGGAGAGGACTCTTTAAAGTAGAGACACTACATACTGATATACACCTGAACATCAGCAGGAGAAGACTCTTTAAAGTAGAGACACTACATACTGATATACACCTGAACATCAGCAGGAGAGGACTCTTTAAAGTAGAGACACTACATACTGATATACACCTGAACATCAGCAGGAGAGGACTCTTTAAAGTAGAGACACTACATACTGATATACACTTGAACATCAGCAGGAGAGGACTCTTTAAAGTAGAGACACTACATACTGATATACACCTGAACATCAGCAGGAGAGGACTCTTTAAAGTAGAGACACTACATACTGATATACCTGAACATCAGCAGGAGAGGACTCTTTAAAGTAGAGACACTACATACTGATATACACCTGAACATCAGCAGGAGAGGACTCTTTAAAGTAGAGACACTACATACTGATATACACCTGAACATCAGCAGGAGAGGACTCTTTAAAGTAGAGACACTACATACTGATATACACCTGAACATCAGCAGGAGAGGACTCTTTAAAGTAGAGACACTACATACTGATATACACCTGAACATCAGCAGGAGAGAACTCTTTAAAGTAGAGACACTACATACTGATATACACCTGAACATCAGCAGGAGAGGACTCTTTAAAGTAGAGACACTACATACTGATATACACCTGAACATCAGCAGGAGAGGACTCTTTAAAGTAGAGACACTACACACTGATATACACCTGAACATCAGCAGGAGAGAACTCTTTAAAGTAGAGACACTACATACTGATATACACCTGAACATCAGCAGGAGAGGACTCTTTAAAGTAGAGACACTACATACTGATATACACCTGAACATCAGCCGGAGAGGACTCTTTAAAGTAGAGACACTACATACTGATATACACCTGAACATCAGCCGGAGAGGACTCTTTAAAGTAGAGACACTACATACTGATATACACCTGAACATCAGCAGGAGAGGACTCTTTAAAGTAGAGACACTACATACTGATATACACCTGAACATCAGCAGGAGAGGACTCTTTAAAGTAGAGACACTACATACTGATATACACCTGAACATCAGCAGGAGAGGACTCTTTAAAGTAGAGACACTACATACTGATATACACCTGAACATCAGCAGGAGAGGACTCTTTAAAGTAGAGACACTACATACTGATATACACCTGAACATCAGCAGGAGAGGACTCTTTAAAGTAGAGACACTACATACTGATATACACCTGAACATCAGCAAGAGAGGACTCTTTAAAGTAGAGACACTACATACTGATATACACCTGAACATCAGCAGGAGAGGACTCTTTAAAGTAGAGACACTACATACTGATATACACCTGAACATCAGCCGGAGAGGACTCTTTAAAGTAGAGACAATACATACTGATATACACCTGAACATCAGCAGGAGAGGACTCTTTAAAGTAGAGACACTACATACTGATATACACCTGAACATCAGCAGGAGAAGACTCTTTAAAGTAGAGACACTACATACTGATATACACCTGAACATCAGCAGGAGAGGACTCTTTAAAGTAGAGACACTACATACTGATATACACCTGAACATCAGCAGGAGAGGACTCTTTAAAGTAGAGACACTACATACTGATATACACTTGAACATCAGCAGGAGAGGACTCTTTAAAGTAGAGACACTACATACTGATATACACCTGAACATCAGCAGGAGAGGACTCTTTAAAGTAGAGACACTACATACTGATATACCTGAACATCAGCAGGAGAGGACTCTTTAAAGTAGAGACACTACATACTGATATACACCTGAACATCAGCAGGAGAGGACTCTTTAAAGTAGAGACACTACATACTGATATACACCTGAACATCAGCAGGAGAGGACTCTTTAAAGTAGAGACACTACATACTGATATACACCTGAACATCAGCAGGAGAGGACTCTTTAAAGTAGAGACACTAGATACTGATATACACTGAACATCAGCAGGAGAGGA